GGCTGATGAAATAAACTAAGAAAAATTCTCTCTCTGTTTTTCTTCATGGTATCAAAGCAAGGCTGCCTGGACCAGTTTTTTTTTTTTAGTTCTGATGCAAACCAGAACACAACTTAATCCCTTTTTCTGGTGAAACTTGAAACCATATTTACTCATTCTTTTCCTCGGTTTCTAGGTGCAAACCTAGCATCCTCCTTCGTTCCAAATCAGTGTTCCACAAAGTCTCTTAGGCAGTAGTCCATCCTCTATGGCCTCAGAAACAAGCAGCAGCGTCGTTGGAACTGTATCAGGCCAAGAACTCGTGAGCAATGGTGGAGCAGAAAGTTCGTCTTTTCTCATCACAAGGCACAAGTTAACCGGCCACAACTACCATCAATGGGCGAAGGCTGTTTTGATGTTCATCACAGGAAGAGGTAAGGATGAATACCTCTACAGCACCACAGAACCACCGAAGAAGGATGATAAGAAGTTCAAGGTGTGGAATACCGAGAACAATCTGGTTATGTCTTGGTTGATCAATGCAATGGACACAGAAATTGGTCAAAATTTTCTGTTTTATGATACTGCACATGAGATTTGGACAGCAGCAAAAGAAACCTACTCGGACAGCGACAATACCGCTGATCTGTTTGATATCAAGGGAGCTCTGCATGATCTAAGGCAAGGTGAGATGACTGTGACTCAATACTATAACACTCTTAGTCGTTTGTGGCAACAATTAGATGTGTTTGAGAATCTGGATTGGGAGTCCCCTGGAGATGCAAGCCGGTACAAGAAGATCATTGAAAAAGAAAGGGTGTTCAAGTTCCTACTGGGATTAGACAAATCCCTAGATGAAGTAAGGGGGAGAATCCTTGGTACCAAGCCACTTCCAACAATTCGAGAAGCCTTCTCAGAGGTGAGAAGAGAAGAAAGCAGGAAGAAATTGATGATGGGTACTCGGTCATCCTCAAACACCCCGGAAGGATCGGCCCTTGTCTCTCAAGGAACCACTAATACTCAAGAAGGGTCAGCCCTTGTCTCCCGTGGATCCACTTCCTCCTATGATGCTCGGCAGAAAAAAGGAAGACAATGGTGTGATCATTGCCGTCGCCCAGGTCACACCAAAGAAACGTGTTGGAAAATACATGGGAAGCCCGCAGACTGGAAATCAAACAAGGAAAAGGAGGCACGTGGTTTCGTGGCTGACTCAGATGGAAAAGAAAGGAGTGCAAATGATTCGACTCTCTTCAGCAAAGAACAAGTAGAGTGGCTGCAAAAGATGTTCAGTCAAGGATCTTCTCCTAACCCGGTTATCTCAACTGCATCCACTACTCAAAGAGGTAACTTCCTAACTGCCTTACATACAAAAGCCGAGGATTCATCAGGGTGGATCATCGATTCTGGAGCTTCTGATCACATGACAGGTGATGTATCATTACTCCATGATTGCAGTCCCTGCCACGAGAATTACAAAGTTAGAATTGCAGATGGTTCCCTTTCCGCGGTAACTGGTATTGGGAAAGTGCTCATCTCCGAGACACTAATTCTTAACCAAGTTCTTTTGGTTCCCAATCGTTCATGCAATTTACTGTCTATCAGCAGACTTACAAAAGACTTAAATTGCATAACTAAATTTACTGCCACTCATTGTTCGTTTCAGGATTTGGCTTCGGGGAAGATGATTGGCAATGCTAAGGAGAGCAAAGGACTCTACTGGTTTAGGGCTGCAGGAAAGCAAGACCCACAAGTACATCATGTTTCCTCTACTCCAAATCCTACAATAAACTTGTCTTTAGATTCAAATAAAGAAAGTACAATCATGTTATTGCATTATCGCTTAGGACACCCAAACTTTATGTACTTATCAAAGATGTTTCCATCATTATTTAATAGAAATCCCAAGCTTTTTCAATGTGAAGTTTGTCAATTTTCTAAGCATTGTCGTAACTCTTACCCTCCCCAAAAGTACAAACCATCAAAACCATTTTCTATTATTCATAGTGATATTTGGGGGCCCTCTCGTGTTCAAAATATCTCTGGTGTTAGATGGTTTGTTACTTTCGTTGATGACCATACTCGAGTTACGTGGGTATTTCTTATGAAGGAAAAATCAAAGGCAGGATCCCTTTTCAAATCCTGTCATTCTATGGTTCAAACACAATTTCAAGCCAAGATTCAGGTGTTTAGAACCGACAATGCCAAGGAGTACTTTAATTCCATAATTGGAAATTCCCTTCTAGAAAATGGAATCATTCACCAAAGCTCCTGTATAGACACCCCTCAACAGAATGGGATAGCAGAGAGAAAAAATAGACACCTTCTGGAGGTAGCCCGATCTATTAGGTTTACCACTCATGTTCCAAAGCATTTTTGGGGGGAGGCAGTTTTAACTGCCACCTACCTAATCAATAGAATGCCTTCTAGAGTCTTGAAATTTGATACCCCGTGTCAGGTTCTTTCCAAAAACTTTCCTCACACTCGAATTATAACCGATATTCCTCCCAAAGTTTTTGGATGTTGTGCATATGTCCATATCCCTTCTCATCAGCGAAGTAAACATGATCCAAAGTCAGTCAAGTGTCTTTTTATAGGTTATTCTCCTTATCAAAAGGGGTACAAGTGTTTTTGCCCCATCACTTGAAAAACCTATAACACTATGGATGTGACTTTTTTTTTAAAATGTGCCCTTTTATACCAAAACTCATATTCAGGGGGAGAGTTCAGTCAACCAACGGAAAGAATATCAGTTTTGGGACATGTCCTTGCCTGAATTTCCTTTGAGGTACCTGAACCCAATATTTCCAGTGAACTACCATCAGAGCCAAGTCAAATTCAAGGAGACAAGGAGTCCAAGGGCAAGGAACTTCAAGTTTACACAAGGCGTCAGAAGAACCCTAAACCAATGGATCAACATCCTGAACTTCCTCCCGTGCCTTGTCAAACTGATGTCCCGAGACCAAATTCCACTGAAGTCATCCAAGGTAACATAGAATCTTCCTCCACTACAGATAACACATACTCTATGGATGATCTCAACAGGCCTGTTGCCCAAAGAAAGGGGGTAAGATCCTGTACTCAGCATCCCATCTCAAAATTTGTGTCCTATGAGAAGCTGTCTCCCAATCTTCGAGCTCTCATCGCAAATATGGAGAATGTTGCTATCCCGAATTGCATACAAGAGGCCTTACAACATCCCGAGTGGAGAAAGGCAGTAAATGAAGAAATCCAAGCACTGCAGAAGAATGGCACATGGGAGATTACTAAATTACCGCAGGGAAAACGCCCTGTGGGTTGTAAGTGGGTCTTCAATGTCAAATACAGGGCAGATGGAAGTATAGACCGGTACAAAGCGAGGCTGGTGACAAAAGAATTTACACAAACCTATGGGATTGACTATCAGGAGACTTTTGCACCAGTTGCAAAATTGAACACAATCCGTGTCTTACTATCCTTGGCAGTCAATCTTGACTGGGGCTTGCATCAACTAGACGTCAAAAATGCATTTCTCAATGGTGATCTCGATGAAGAAGTCTACATGGAAATTCCTCCAGGTCTAAAGCATTCCAATAGCAACAATCTAGTCTGCAAACTTCAGAAATCACTCTATGGGCTTAAGCAATCCCCAAGAGCGTGGTTCGAGAGATTTACCAAGGTCATTAAAGGAGAGGAATATTTACAAGGACAATCTGATCATACTCTTTTCATTAAGAGACTTCCTGGCGGTAAGATCACAATCCTCATAGTCTACGTTGATGATATAATTGTTACAGGGAATGATGAAGAAGAAATATCCCGACTTAAAACAGTTCTAAGCAGAGAGTTTGAGATTAAAGATCTAGGAGCCTTGAGATATTTTCTTGGAATGGAGGTAGCAAGGTCAAGCAAGGGTATTTCAGTTTCACAACGAAAGTACACCCTTGATCTGTTAAAGGAGACAGGGATGCTTGGATGCAAACCCTCCGATACTCCTATGGACCCATTCAACAAGATAGGCACAAAAGAAGACTCAGCTACAATCGACAAGGGTAGATATCAAAGACTAGTTGGGAGATTGATCTACTTATCTCACACAAGACCTGACATAAGCTTTGCAGTGAGTAGGGTTAGCCAGTTTATGAATGATCCTACAGAAGAGCATCAAGAAGCTGTGTACAGGATACTACGCTACTTAAAGATGACTCCAGGCAAAGGATTATTCTTCAAAAAGGGGGTTAGTCGTGATGTGGAGATTTTCTCAGATGCAGACTGGGCTGGGTCCTTAACAGATAGGAGGTCTACTTCGGGTTACTGTACCTATGTCTGGGGCAATCTAGTCACTTGGAGGAGTAAGAAGCAAACAGTTGTGGCACGCAGTAGTGCAGAAGCTGAATTTCGTGCCATGGCCCACGGTATCTGTGAAGGAATGTGGTTAAAAAGGTTGCTTGAGGAACTCCAGTTCTCCCCTCATGCACCTATGAAATTGTTGTGTACAATCAAGCAGCAATCAGCATTGCTAAGAATCCAGTTCATCACGATCGAACCAAGCATGTAGAGATCGATCGCCACTTCATCAAAGAGAAGATAGAGCAAGGGATCATCGAAGTGGATTACACTCCTACACGGCAACAAACTGCAGACATAATGACAAAGGCTGTTCCTAGAGCACAGTTTGACATACTGCTCTCCAAGCTGGGAATGATTAACATTCATTGCCCAGCTGAGGGGGAGTGTGGAATTCCGGAGATATTAGGCAGTAATGGGCTGTAAATAGGAGATTTGCTAGGCTGTAAATAGCTATAGATTAGTTTCCATAACTAGCTAATTAGTTTTCCTTTTCTGTAGGATTTGACAGAATAAATCAAGGAATTACCAGGCTGTTGGTAATCTCCTCTTCTGTATAAATGTATGTTTCGGCTGATGAAATAAACTAAGAAAAATTCTCTCTGTTTTTCTTCAGTTTTTTCATTTCCTCATCACTGAAGCTGAAATAGTAATGGTAAACACAAATATAAAGAAAAATTGGGGGAAATTACCTGAGCAAGACAACAAGGAACAAGGTCTCAAGCAACAAATCGGAGAAGATCAACTGCTTAGAGATACCTTGAAGAAACTCCATTCCCTAGAAACTAAACTCTTCAAATTCAATCAAAGCCCAGAACAATAAGAAAGCAACGATATCCAAAACCATAACAATTCAACTACTCTTTTCTAATTTTCTTTAGGTAATACCTATTCTACAACTAAACAAAGGTTTAAAAGAAACCACATAAACTAATACATTAAAGATAGGAATTTTCAGGTACCTGAACCCATAACAAACATATTCAAATAAAAAGTTGAAGAAACCACATAAACTAACACATATAAAATAGGAGAAAAAAGCAAACCATCAAAATCCACATATCAAAGAAGATAGAAAAAGAGGATACCTACTGCTTGGCTTGGATGGTGGACGGGAAGATTTCGTTTCTCTTCCTCTCTTTTTTCCTTTTTCCGGGTATCGGGTGGTGGGCTTGTGTTCTCGTGTCTCTTGAAAGCTCACCAGAAATGAAAACAAGAGAGAAATTTTCGGAGGAATGAGAGTTGCAAAGAAAGATAAGAGCAAAAGGCAGAAGGGAAACAAATGAAAAGAAAGGGGAGAAAGATGCGAGCTCGACAAGAGAGATGGGTGCAAAAAGACTTTGAGGAGAAAAAAAAAGAAGCAACAAATTAGAAAGACGAAAACTTTGAACATTACATTTGTGAGGGGAGCTATAGCAAACCAACCGTGATTTCTAATATTGTTATAGAATAATTATAGACTAGTTGCAGTCATGGGATTTGCACGTGTCAGTCTTGCTGTGAGCATTAAATGTGGTGTTTCAGGTTTTTTAAATATTGAATAGTGTTTGTTTCAAGAATCATTTGAGTTTTTTAATTCATTTTTAAAAATAGATTCTTTTTTAATACATGACAAATTATAAGAAAAAACATGAATTTGTTTTTTAAACGTGATTTGGCCATGATGTTGAAAATAAATAAATATAATTAGTAGAAGTGATATATTTAAAAAAAAAAAAAAAAGCAACATACGCTACCGTTATGCTAACAAGGAAAAGCATGAAAAAGAACCAATTCCCGGTCAAGCTATGAGAAAATTCAACATATAAAGAACAGGGTAACGCGATCTATCTTATATCTAAAAAAGATAATACATTTACACGAAAACCCAAGATCATGTATATTTATTTAGGGCAATAAAGAAAGAAAAAAGAATAAAGAATTTTCACTGGGCCACAACTAAGACAAATTTTGGAAACACGGTCAAGGAGGAATTACTTTCTCAAATGGTCAAATACAATTTCTCTCTTTTCACCAAGACAAAATGAGATTGAGAAATGATATAATTAGTAAAAGTGATATGTTAAAAAAAAAAAAGCACCATAAGCTGCATACCAGTACAAAGAAAAAAAGGTCTGCAAGGACTGCTAATAAAAAGAATAAGACAATCTTCCAAGTCATTACAATAGAGGCATAACCAAGAACTAACGAGCATATCATAGGGAAGTCGACTTGTTTGCCTTAGTGTTAATGATTAGAAAATGAATATCCCTACATTAGAAGTAGTAGTGCAAATGAACATGTACATCAAGGGGCAAAAAATCAAAATAGTTGGGATTAATTACAAAAATTTCCCCCAACTTATACCCCTATAGTAGCGCAAATGAACATGTACGTCGGGGGTAAAAAATTAAAATAGTTGGGATTAGTTATAAAACTTCTCCCGAATTATACCCCTTATAACACTTTGCCCACTAATCTTTCAAAAATAACATCCCGTCCTTCATAAGAATGAAATGTTAACAAGAAAGCCCCCTCTGTTAAAATTTTAATGAAAATTGACATTTAATAAGTTATTTTAGGGGTATTCTGGTAACTCTGGTTTGAAATTTTGATTCGAATTTAAAACTAATTTAACTTTGAATAATGCTAAGGCAGCATACTCTGTAGTATTTTCCACATGTTGTTCATAAGTCTACATTGTTGCCATTGTAATGATGAACTCCCAAAAACAATTTTAACACGCTAAAAGTCTTCATTTCCCCAAATTTCAACAACTTTCAGACACCCACTACTAAACCGAATCAACTTCATCAAACTAACACATAAAATGCACACTTAATCAAAAAAATGCTATGTATCACGATTTGTTATAATTATTTCATTCCCACTCTGAACACAAATAATGTCAGGCAAAACTTTTAATCTGTAGTACTGCACCAAGAATGTCAAGAAAAATCACACGCAAGTAACTAAATAAACCCCTGAGCAGGCAACAACAAAAAATAAAAAAAGAAAGAAAAGAAAAGGGAAAAAAAACAGCTAATGGAAAGTCATAAGTGTATCGTGCCAAGCATGAAATTTTATTGTCTCCAAAATAAAGGAATGAACAGAAGATTTCAGAAAAGCAAGCAAAACAGAGACACAACAAATGGCAAAACCACATAAGCATTGCTCCATAAAAACCAATTCAATCTTAAATCTAATCCCCCATACTTTCCTGTAAACAGTTCACATTCAACAAAAAAGCACAATTCAGCAATAACGGTTTTCATAATTTCTCATTCAAATGATCCAATCCTATCACACATAGAAAAATAACAAAAACATCTAGAACCCCATATCCAAAAGAGAGATAAATACGAAATAATTAAGCAAAACCCCAATTGAGTGAATACACCAAAAAGATCCAGCTTCCGAATCTTATAGAAACATAAGCTAGAGCTAATCAATTACCTAACAGATTCTTGGACCTATAAACAATGGCCATATTGCAGTGCTCGTATTTAACACTAAAACATGCGCTTCTTCATATATTATGAAAACTCCTAGTAGTTTTAAGCAAAACAAATTACCTTAAAACATAAACCATGACAATATCCAATAGCCGCCATAATTAGAAGATACTCCCAGTAGTTTCAGTCACTATTAAGCTGATGAAAGAAAGAACCATTTAAGGTAAATTCAATCCAATCTGAATTAAATTTTAAGGAGAAATAAGAAATTTTAATTTAAAGACATAATGAGTACGGAAAAAAGTAGAAATTAAATAATTTAGATACCGTAGCTAAGGAGGTTCGTTATTTATATTGATATCTTTTGTGAATAACACTGTAAGATTCCAATAAGATTGTACCTGCAATAAATCAAAATGGAGCATAAAAAATATTTAATAATATTGATGGTCTTGCAGTAGTTATAGGAAGCAAAAGAAAGGAACAGTAACTACCTTTTTTTAGTCTGCCAACGCCACAATTTCCTTAAAATCAACATTTCTAGTACGATCACAAGAGTCCTCGCCGTAAGGAGTATCTAAGAAGATTTTAATAGTGAATGTTAATTAAAATACTATCTTACTTGTATATAAAACCAGTAAGAATTACAACAAAAATTGGGTGAATCCAAGGGATCATATCTCTGCTTTTAAAATGCCCCTACCTGCAGCACCAACACTTGCAATAGTTTAATTGATCTAATACCACTCACAAAGTTACGAAGATAGTCAATTTCAGAGATAAAACCAACACTTGCAATAGTTTAATTGATCTAATACCACTCACAAAGTTACGAAGATAGTCAATTTCAGAGATAAAACTGGTGGCAACATTCAAGCTACAACCAATGCGAATGTTAGACTAAAACCCAATATTAATATGGGAGTTACAACTTTAAATAAAATTGAAGTTAAGATCAACAGCAACATTAGAGCTAGAGCCAGTGGTAACAGTAGTCAAACGCCAATGGTAATGTTGGAGCTAAAAATATCAGTACTACTGAAAAAAAGATATTTCAACATAAAAGAAAATAATAATAATAAGATATACAACTCTTACCCTTTAAGAAGCTTGGTGGAGATCTGATTTTGAGTAAAATGTTTTGGCCAGTTATCTCACAAAATGTCCCACAAGCAATCATCCAAAGGTCAATGAATTGTTAGCTCAAAAACTATACCAACTCCTTTCAAAACATGGTCAAGTATAGAAAGACTAAAATTAAGTGTAATCTGCAAGCTAATTTCTACCAAAAATCCTGAATTGCTCAAATAGGTAATCTGTAGATTTTTCAATGGTTGCATTTCCATCATTGTTAGTCCTTTAGATTGCCTAGCACAATTTCAGATAGTCAACAAACAAACATATTCCATACCAATTGAAACAGAAACCAAAACGTTAACTGTTCCATCCGTCCATATGACACATCGTATTAACAATCACAAAATCCCCAACCTCAGAATCCAAGGGAAAAATTAAAAGAAAAGAAAACCAATGATCGTCCATGAAAAAATTATAAATAAATTAATCGTTCACAATATTTATCCTTGAAGTATTTTTTAATTGAATGGAATGAAATGCCAAAAGTAGAATTGGAACCTATTGAGAAACATATTTTTCCGTTAAAAAAACATATTTTAAAGAAGAGTTAAAAATATATAAAATAAATAAATACTCGAATTGACAAAAAGAGAAAACAAAAAAAAAGAAGAAAAAGAAAAAACACAAGCAGACAGAGAGAAAGACGAGAGAAACAAAAAGTACCAGATAGAACAGAAACCTTTATAAGCATGGCAGAGAATCCTCTAAAAGCATGATTGTAATTGTGTATTATAGACATTCTCTCACAATTTTCTTCCCTGCAAAAATAATACACAGAAAATACATATAATAACATAACAACAATTTTTATCTCACTCTCATTCTTGTTGCTGAATTGCACCATTTTCTCAGCAACCAAACAAGAAAAAAGAAATTTTGATGGGAACCCATTTGGAGAATTTACCTTAAGAACATCGTGATTTGATGCAGAGGCCCAAGAAATGTTGATGAGAAGCCATGGCAGAGAGAGAAAAGAGAGTAATATATGATAGTTAGTCATATACATGTATATATATTCAACAGATCAAAATTCACAAAACTCATATCAAAACTACAAACTCAGATTCGACAGAAGAGGAGTTCTATGGCGGCATTTAGTCGAACACTTGGAGTGATGTTAAGGTACGATAAACGGAAAAGTTGCAAATCGTAATTGAAGAGATCGTCGCGCTGCCGGAATGTTGTCGGCGATTCTGAACGTTGGATTCGCAGCGGCGATGATAGAGAGAGGAAGGCCACACCCGAACATCTCCGGCGAAAGCTGCATCAAAACTCAAAAAGATCAGAGAAGCAAAATCGAGAAATCGAAGCTGAAATCGCGGCATCAAAACTCAACAAAGCCAAGGAAGCAAAATCATTTAAATCGCGGCATCAAAAGTCAACAAACCTAGAAAGGGGAAATTGGGAAATCGCATCCGGAATCGCGACAAAACCAGTCTTCTCCCTCTATTCTTCTCCCGCGATTCGCGGCAGAAATCTCCAAAAAAGAACGACGGCGGCTCAACATCTTCGTCGCAGCTCGATATCTTCAGACGAAGAACGAGAAAAAGAGATCAATAGGGAGAGAGAGAGAGAGAGAGAGAGAGAAACTCGGTGAAGGAAGAGAGAGTGGGGTGAAGAGAGATGGAAAAAGAGTGAGGCGGCTGGGGATTTTCTTTCGTTCTTTTTTTGAAAGTGGCGAATGGGAGTTTCAAGTGAGGGTTAAGAAACGAAACCCCTTCTTTACCGTTGGAAAAGAACATTGTCTCAAACGGCACCGACAACCGAGAATTAGAACATTGTTTGGTTGGAGCCTCGGAGGGTAAGGGTATGTTTGGAATATAAATTTTTTTATAGGTATTTTGACTTCACTGCAGTGTTTTACTTCTATAAAAAATTTAAATTTCAAAAGTAATAATTAAAATTACTATTTGAACTCTAATTTGAATACATAACCAAACGAATCGCATACGTCTTAGTTTTAGTTTAAACAATATTTCTCTTATAAAAATATGAATTTAAAATTTTTTATTATAATCTCATAAAATTTGAATTATGCTTCAAATTTGAACCAATAATCTAAACATTTAAACGGGCATTTATTTTTAAATGATATTGGAAGACATCACATAAATTATCAACATTTTAAAAAGATACTAATTACTTAAAATGTATATACAAAAAATGTTATATGATGCATTTTTTCTTTCTCCTTTGTGTTGAATAGCTCGAGCTTCTTGTCATGTTGTAAACACTCTCTTATTTATTGCATTGCATTTTTTATTTGTGGATCATTTCAATTTGGTACCCTCTGCTTCATGAAATTGTCTTTTTAGTATCTTATATTTATATAATTTTAAATGGTAACTCTACCTATTAAAATATGAGTTTTAAGTTTCATAAGACCTTTTTTTTTTAAACATGAAAATGTCAATTTTACCTTTTTCAATAATTTCTAATTTTGTTTACTCGTAAAGGATGTTTATTTACATAGATAATTGAAATAAATGGGTCAATTTTTAAAATCATTAAAAGTAAATATATGATTTACCAATCATTAAAAATAATAGCCCATTTTAAATTTTAAATATTTGTTTTCTCATTTTACCCTTCCTTATAGGATTTCTATTTTTTTTTCAAATTCACTTTCTCTCTCTACTACTCTATTTCTCTCTCAATCTCATACCCTCTTTCTCTCTCCGCCCACAATCTCTCTCTTCGCGGTTCGCCATCATAGTTCCTCCCTCATCATCAATGGTTGATTTTCTCTCTCTCCTTCGTAATCTGGTGCTTGTCTCCGTCCGTCAATAACAAACTTTGTTTCTAGCAAACTAAGATCCACAATGCTCGCGAAAGAGAACGGACTATTGTCGTTGCCGGAGAACATTAGAGGTTGGGTACGATGGACAAATTGTAGCAAGATCGCATTGAAACCGCAAGAAGATTCGTGCAAGTGCGAAGTTTCTAGGCATGATGGAAAGAGAGAAAAAGGTGCGAAAGAGAGAGAGAACACGTGTGCACGAGATTGAGACAAATCGAGAAGAGAGAAAGAGAGAGACTTTGCTAGTGCGAGTGAGAATGGAAGGGGAGAGAAAACGAGGAGAGAGAATTTTTTTTGTTTCATTTCATTTTTTCCTCTTTATTCAAAGGACATTTTAGTTTTATATACAAGGTAATATTGAGATTCTAATGAGATGTAATCATGATTTTCACTTCAATGGTATATTTACTAATTATTTCTAAATATAGGCATATTAATTTTTATTTAAATATTTATTTGGCCTATTTCCGCATTTCTTGTTTAATAAAGAGTGAATTTGGGTCAACCAAAAGAGAAATTATTAAAAAGGCAAATTTGATATTTCATATCCAAAAAGGCTTTAAGGTACCAAAAACTAATAATTTAAAATGTGGAAGTACTAATTTAAAATTATAAAAATTACAAGGTACTAAAAGACAATTTTACTATTGCACTTGAGTACCAAATTGAACTTATCCCGAGTAAATAACACAAATAATCCCTAAACAATTTTGTAGGCGGCAATAGTCTTTATTCTTTTAATTTTGGCAAAAGAACCCTCACACCCTTTAATCATTGATAATTAAAACCTTTTCGTCAATTTTTGTCAAATCTTTAATAGAATTCATCACGTGACCTATTAAGTGACTTAATTATTTTTAAGCAAAAAAAAAAAATGTAACTCAATTTTAAGTAAATGACCAAAATGCGATTTTGAATCATGATTTCAGAATAATGATTTGAACCCAAAATCATGAATCATGGTTCTGATTCCAGAATCATGATTAGAATCACCCTGTTTTGAATAATCGTACCAAACGAACCCTTAAGGATTTCAGAACCCAAAGCCTACTTGAGTTCTTAAGGTTTGAACATAGTGTGAGAACTCACAAAATCTCACACTAGGTTCAAACCTTAAGGGTATGTTTGGTAGGAATGAGAGATGGAGGGAGAGAGAGGGGTACAGGGAGAGAGATGGAGGGGGGAAGAAGAGAGGTGGAAATAGCCTCTCTTCATTCGGGCCACCATTTTGCAGCCCTCTTCTAATATAGAAGGATTCATATAATCTACCCATTAAAATTTTAAAAAGACCATTTTATTCTTAAAAAGTTTAGTATGAAATTGAAACAAAGGACAAACAAGTAATTAAATAAATAGTTATCCATCCATCTTTTTAACTCTCTCTCTCTCTTACCAAACAACACAAAGAATTATCATAATTCTCTTCATCCCTCACATTCTTCCTCCTTCCAACTCTCTTCATCCCTCTTCCTCTCCATTCCTCTTACCAAACAGAGCCTAAGGTTCAATTTAAACCCCTTACCAAACGAATCCAAGTTCCCAATTTAATTTCATATTTTGATTTCTTTTATTCTCATAACGATTCAAATTCACAATATACACCACAGAGTTGACTATTTTCTCAGTTGACCCCTCCCATTTCTAGTTGAGGTGAGGTTTACCGTTTAGTTTGCTGATTCGAGTTTTTAATTCGAGTTGAGATGTAACTTTATGTGAGAGCCTTTTACTGTAATAAAAAAATTAAATGTGATTGTTTCTGAGAGCTTTTTACTGTAACAAACTCAAATTCTAAACTTAAATCGATGAAATGAACGTGACCTTACATCTATAACCCCGCCAAAACGTGTAGTAGGCCCACCAGAACCACTGCACCAAACAACTATGCCAAGCTCAAAGCCAGTATCATCGAGCCAAGCCCAAACGATCAATATCCAGCGTTTTTTTGCTATCGATGACATTGTCCCTGCATATGCAATACCTCTCCATGGTTTGAATTTCATTTAATTTTTGATATTTTCTCATATCAATATGACATCTAGAAGTCTCGAGCCACTTTTAAACAACCTACCCTTCTCTTATTAAAGAAAAAGAAAACCTATGAGCTTCAATTTGTCATTAATGCAAAAATTAACACCTAAATTGCATTTTTCTATATTGTTGAGCAATAAAAAAAGTGGTGTTATAATTTTATAAATAAGCAAACTACACTGATACTTTTTTGCCCCGTTCATTTCGCTGATTCGAGTTTAGAATTTGAGTTTTGTTAAGCTCTCACAAACAATCACATCTAACTTTTTTGCTACAGTAAAAAGCTCTCATATAAAATCACATTTCAACTCGAATTAAAAACTCGAATCAGCGAACTAAACGGACTCAAAGTTTTATTAATATAACAGTGACACTCATTTAATAAAAAAGTTACGTCATCTTTACACATATAGCAAAATTTAACAATAATATTGTAATATAGCAAAATAATTAATAAAATTTAATATCATGAAAATAATTATATTTTATGTAGAACAAAAATTATATTATTATGATAATTACAATGTCAATTTTGTTATAAAATTTTTATAATATTTTGAGGATTTTGTTAAATTTAAGTTTAAGGTATGAAATTTTAGCGTGTAGTAACAGTGTAATTATTACTTATTTTAACTCTATTAAATTTGAAGTGTAAAATGATAAAAAGAATAACGTTAAATTCAAAGTGTAAGTTGATTTTTTTTAAAAAAAAAAAAAAACCCATTATCTTCAGCTTCTGATCAATTCTATTCAATCTCAGCCATTGAATGGTCTTAGGTTGGTGCTTGCTTAGAGCATTGGAGGAAGAAAGACAGCCTAGTGATAGAGCGAGCAGCCGCATCCACCGCCGGCCGGCGAGAGCTCGTCTCCTCCGACCAGCACATCCGCCACTGCTCCGATCAACGTCGCCTCCCTCTCCATCGAGCCTCTTTCCCAGTCGCCCGCCCTCTCATCTAGTAGGGCCCACCAGTTAGCCGCCGCCGCCGCCGCCGCCATATTCCCATCGCCCTGTGTCTATTTTCCTTCTTCCTGTTCAGGTCGACGAACAGCCCCAGTCAACACAACACAACACAACTGTCTCATATACACACTGGTACTCCTATATATAGCACCAGCAGACGCTGAAAAACCATTTCTAGTTGACAATGTACATCATAAGAGTCTTATAGGTAAAATAACACTCTTGATTTTCATGTCTCACATTTTTCTCTAGCTTTCTTTTCTCCTGGATTTTCCTTCACTTTCTCGCCGATTTTCTCCCCTGCTTACTGGTTTCGAGATAATTTATGCGATGCTTAATTGTTTAACTGTATTAATTAGGTCTCCCTCAAGTTTGTCGTCTTAATTGCATTTTTTTTTTTTTGCATTAGATAGATTTTGCTGATAAATTTAGCAATTTTTTAGAGTAACCGTACGGCTTGCGGATTACAATTAGAATTATCAGTTACGAAAAGTTACTCGCATTTTTATATGGGTGAAATAATGTCTCGAAATAAAGAAACAATTTATACTATTTGGAAATGTGGATGTTTATGAGTTATTTGGTTGCTTTTCTTTCATGATTAGATTAGATTATGCGTGGCCGGTTATTTTCTAGATTTCTCGGTGTTTTTATTATTTTTATGCTGAAAAGTGAGCTTTACAGATTCCAGTTTTTTGAGTTATCTCTCTGGAAACTGGAAAGATTTATTTAAACTACAATTCAACAAGTTATTGTCATTTTTTTTTTTCACGATTCTGGTTCTGGATATCAAATAATTTAGAACCTGCCATTTGTGCAAATTATGAACAATAAGCTAGTGAAAAAGAGGGGGGAAATACTGGAGGTGACTGGGCATACCATAGATGAAGTGGTTAACGGATTTCTTTCACCAACCAAGTTCTGCATAAATCTTTACAGATTTACATGGCTCTGGCAGCAGATTCAATAAGGCCTAGAGGTTTAATTTTTTTTTTCTTTTTTCTTATCCATCCCAATAGATTCATGAATTCGTTAATAAATTTTTAGGTCAGGTGCTAATCCTAAGTACTTCAAATTGTTTGTCATAATAAATATTTCAAGACTTGATCACTCAAGTTCTTGACTTGTTGTGTTTATTTCGTAGAGATAGTTTTAAGTTTCTGGTTTTTGATGTTCTTATATTTCTAGGATTGCTCATACAATTCAAGTGTTTTGTTCTATTTATGTCTATATTTTATTTGTTTCACTCTTTTTTTGCTCACACGTCACTGTTGATGAACATGCTAAATTTAATTTTTTTAAAAATAAGAGTGACCTTTCATCATTTCAAAAATTTGGCTATATATAATCTTAATAGTTGCTTTTTGCAGATTTTTGCATTATTGGTGTTGCACGCACACTAATGGGCGGGTTTCTTGGTGCTTTGTCCTCTTTATCTGCCACCAAACTCGGAAGAGAGAAAAGATCTCCGCTAATGTCATCATAGTAACTTGGAAGAGGGTCACTGAAATAGAACTTCCTCCTCTTCCCTCCGCTGCGAAACCTCCTCGTACCCTCTTCAACAATATGTGGAAACTCGTATGCAGAAATTGGCATTGCCTTAATCCCAGAACCAATTCTCACACACTCCCAGACAAGTTTTATTACTGCACCTTGCAAACCCATGACACAGTTCAAGAAATCAGCAACATTCTCATCCACAACAACTGGAAATTCCTCATGGACTCCTCGGACATCCCCAAGAAGCTAAACACAGGTGTAATCAGATCCGTCATTCACAATAACAGGTTCATTAATCCCAAACGCCTCCTTGACTTCTTCATATGGTCTGAAACCAAAGCGGATAATAACTTCAACGACTTGGATTTGTTGTCTCTTCTCGTCATTTTGCTTTGTAATTCGAATTCATTTTTGCCCGCCCGTGATGTCATTGATCGCATGATAAAGACGGGGAAAACTTTTGATGTTTTGAGTTCTGTTGTTGAATGTTATAGGAGATTTGATGGGTCCAGAAATGTGGCGTTTGATATGTTGGTTGAGAGGTATACTAAAATGGGTTTTGTTGTTGAGGCTGCTGATGTTTTTTTGGGGTTAAGAGATGTTGAGTTCTTTATGCCTAGTTTGTTGTCATGCAATTCACTCTTGAGGGAGTTATTGAGGACTAACAAGATTGGGTTGTTTTGGAAGGTTTGTGATAGTATGTGTGAGATGAGGATTGAATTTGACGTGTATACTTATTCTAGTGTTATTGATGCTCATTTTAGAATTGGGAATGCTGGTGAGGCCAAAAGGGTATTTTTGGAAATGGATGAGAAGGGTTGTAGTCCGAACATCATTGTATATAATGTGATGATTAGTGGTTTGTGCAGAGTTGGGCTTCTAAATGAAGCGGTTCACATGAAAAAGTCGATGTCTGTGAAGGGTTTAGTCCCTGACAACTATACTTATGCAACTCTTATTAATGGTTATTGTAGAGGAAAGAGATTGGAAGATGCAAAACTGGTTTTGTCTGAAATGGTTGATGAGGGATTGAAGCCTAATATAGTTGCCTACAATGCTTTGATTGATGGGTTTCTGAACCTTGGTGATTTGGAAGAGGCTTTTAGAATTAAGAATGAAATGGTTTGTCACGGTTTAAAGCTAAATTTGGTAAATTATAACACTGTTCTTAAAGGAGTTTGTAAGGCTGGTAAGATGGACAAGGCCAGAAAAATTGTCAATGAAATGATTAGGGCGGGAAGTCAACCTGATGCAAGAACTTACACTTCATTGATTGAGGGCTATTGCCGGCAACGTGATATGGTCAGTGCTTTCAAAATGTTTGATGAGATGAAGAAGATAAATTTGGTACCGACAATTGTAACATACAGTGTGATAATTAATGGGCTGTGTGGAAGTGGAAATCTTGATCAGGCTAATCATTTTGTTCAGGAAATGATTTCATGTGGATTGAAACTGAACTGTATTGTCTACCATCCTCTTATTTCAGCTCATCTAAAGGAAGGTAAAGTAGAAGCAGCAAGAAGGATTTTAGATAGGATGAGGGAACTAGGGATTTCACCCGATGTGTTTTGCTACAATTCTCTTATAATTGGTCTCAGCAGAGAAAATCAGTTGGACACGGCAAGGAATTACTTGGATGACATGTTGGCAAAGGGATTACAGCCAAATGCATACACGTATGGAGCTTTTGTGCATGCGTATAGTAAGGTTGGGGACATGAAGATGGCCGACAGATACTTCAATGAGATGTTATGTTATGGTCTGACGCCTAATGTTGTTATTTACACAGCCTTGATAGATGGGCATTGCAAAGTAGGGAACCTAGAAGAAGCTTTTTCAGCGTTTAGGTGTATGCTTGCGCGTGGAATTGTCCCAGATGTCCGAACTTATAGTGTTCTTATTAGCGGGCTTTCAAGGATTGGGAAAATGCAAGAAGCCTTGGGGATCTTCTCTGAGTTTTGTGAGAAGGGTTTGATTCCTGATGTTTACATTTACAACTCTCTCATTACTGGTTTCTGCAAACAAGGTGATTTGGACAAGGCTGTTCAGCTTTATGAGGAGATGTGCATGAAGGGCACAGGTCCTAACATTGTGACTTATAATATTTTGATTAATGGGCTATGCAAGGCAGGTGATGTTGAAGAAGCTACTAACTTATTTCATGGCATTTTGAAGAACGGTTTGACTCCCAACAACGTGACATATGCTATAATGATAGATGGTTACTGCAAATCTGGAAATTTAATCGACGCATTCAAGTTATTTGATGGGATGCCACTAAGGGGAGTCACAGCCGATAGTTATGTTTACAATGCCCTTCTTGATGGATGCTGCAAAGAAGGAAATTTGGATAAAGCAAAGGGTCTATTTCAAGATATGTTGATTAAAGGTGTTGCCTCTGCAATGTCTTTTAACACATTGATTGACGGGCTCTGCAAAAGCAAAATGCTGCTAGAAGCCAACCATTTGCTGGAAGAAATGTCGGAAAAACAGATCTTTCCTGACCATGTAACCTACACAACCGTGATTGATCATCATTGTAAGGCTCAGAATATGGAGGAAGCGAAACGGCTCTTCTTGGAGATGAAAGCAATGAATCTTGCACCAACCATTGTAACCTTCACATCACTTCTACATGGATACAACATGGCAGGAAAAACTTATGAAGTTTTTTCTCTGTTTCAGGAGATGCTAGCTACAGGGATAGAGCCTGATAATGTTGCCTATTGTGCTATAATTGATGCTCAATGTAAAGAAGGGAATTTAACAGAAGCATTGAAAATGAGGGATGAGATGTTAAAGAAGTGTTTTCCCAGGAGATTATGTACTTATGACACTCTAACACAAGCCCAATGTGCAAAGCAAGATTTTCCTCAAGCCCTGAAGTTGCTTAATAAAATCGGAGAAGCCGGCTTGCGTCTTAGTTTTACTGCATGTAGTGTCATAGCTTCTGGCTTCCAATGTGCTGGTGATATAGATAAAGCCACAGAAGTATTGGATCGTATGGTTTCAAACTCCACAAGCTTAGCTGACTTAATTGATGGAAACCAAAAGATTCCATATTCTGAGCACTCTAGAGATCTAATCAAGCAAATGGCCTAGGAAGAATGCCTTTTTTTTTGTTGTTGCTTTGTGAATGTGGTCTGTGATCTCTATGAACAAATAATGATCTCAGTGGCAGTGCGAGACAGGATACTTGGTTGTCTGTTCGTAGGTGCTATATTCCTTGCAATCATTAATCCCAATATTATGCTCCAAAGCATGCTGCCAGTTGAGAAGTAAAAATTCAAGGGTGGTGAGGATTTTGATATCCCAGAAATTCCCCGAACCTGCTTGGTGGGCTGGAGATGAACTCCATTCTTTGAGAAGCATGAAAGTTTTACTGATTAGTCAGGTAGGTGGTCCTGAGGGATTGAACTTTAAACTATGTGGGAGCAAATTACGGGCTTGACAGCACAACTTTCAGCTGTTGACTCTTACAAAGTAAGGAAATTCTTCCTGTTCATCACTCCCCCCACCCC